TTACAAAATGGCGACTCCCCTGAGTGATTGTGCCAAGGTTGAGATTCGTTTCTCGTGGTCTGAATGAGTAGAAACCGGTGGAAATTTCACAAGCGGATGCTGAAGAAGCACGGGGACAGTTGCATGAACCAGAGTAAGGTGCATGAGTGGGTGGAAATGTTCCAGAATGGATGGGAAGCGCCGAGACTCTCCAGTGAAGAAACGATTTGAGATTCAATTCTCTGCCGGGAAGGTCTTTGCTGAAGGGTCTTCTGGGTTTGCAAGGGTCCATCAGCGATGAACAGTGCTAAGTACTTATTCTTCGCACCCAACTTCATCCCCGCAATCCGCACAAAACCACGAGGAATTTTTTCCAAGGTGGTAACGAGATAACGAGACTACAAACCGCCGAGCTTCCCATCTTCGCAGTCGTCGAAATTCTCAGGGAAAATTCGCAGTCCCCAAACAGACCTGACCTCGCGCCATCTGACTCCCGCCTGTTTCGCCTTGCGACCTCCAAATTTTCCCCAAGATTTTGTTCAAATGGCAGCGCGGGAATGGTCGCGTCGACAGTCAAAACGATTTTATTCCGACGGAGTCCACAAGCTTGAGCAGGGCTGAACAATTAGAATAGAGAGGAGGGTGAATACAAATAAAATGACATCATTTCATCAATGCCATCGATTCCATATTGGTACACCATGGGCCCACTTGATAAGGTTTTTGTCATTATATTTTTAAATCTCGTATATTTCCTCGTTTAATGGTATCGGAAAAATGGTGAAAATTAACTTAGGACATTAGAGCAATGAGATACTTGCTTCGTGCCGGAAGAAGTTTGCTGCTAAAAGGTGTTATTGTTCATGAATAGGTATTTTTGGGGTTAAAAAAGGAAATTAAAAGTATGGCTTAAAACTGAGTGTGAGCATCTTGAACGGTAGCGCAAAAACCATTGAGATCGAGAGGTGCACGAAGAAGCCCAGGACCAGCCATTTCAGGTTGCGTAAAGTTTGGTCCTAAATTACTCCACTGTCCCAAGTAACAGCAACCAGCAGTAAGCAGTATAGTATAGTATAGTATAGCAGTAAGTTTGCGTTACAGATTGCGTTACATCTTCCGTTATTGAGGCATTCCCGTCACCAGACACCGTGTCTGCATCGACTCCATAAGAGTGAATTTAAGATTGGGAAGAAGGCGGTGGGTCGTGCAAACTGGCCCATATACAGTGTCTCAATAAATGTATACACACTTTAATAAATAAAAAATATATGTTAAGTAATTCAGAGTGGTAGAGTGTTTAGTGTGTGGAGAAACAAGAGTTTGAATTGCATGGTTCGCTACCACAGACGTTCAAATTGTTCACCGTTAGCATCCAGCACTGGTGACAGCAGTGAGCAACAGTGCAGTAAACTTGTGGACAGGTTTCTGCTTTGGTAGCAGCACAGGGCTCCTCAATTTCAAGCGATCTTGTGAATGCTTACATTGCAACAGCAGCATTTTCTCCACCTGTTGATGTGTGAGGTCTATCAGGACATTGTTTATGCATTACCGTACAAGCAATGTTCTGGGAGACCATGCACTATGCCACAGCATCGAACTTATCATGAATTCTTGAAAGTTGTAGTACATTATGGTGACATAGTTCCAAGTTCATTTCTCGACCTTTTTTGCACTTCACATGTGTTCTCAGATTTCCAGAATCACTTCAAAATCAACTTACATTGCTCTAAGGTCAAGTGAGTGATTCGAGTGTGTCTACATTTTTTTTTAGACGCACTGTATTTACGTCTCGTGCGTTTGCTCTTGTGGCATTTCCAGCTTGGGAATTCCCTTAGATCGAACCGAGGCAGGACAGCGCCTCCCTGCGGGAACATGCGCAGCCTGCAGAGTAGGCAGTTGTGAATGTCTTTGGGGACAGGCGGGACGAGCCGCCAAGCAGGCGCCCGACGCATTCCATTCCGGCGCGAGGGCGTGGGATGGGCATCGAGAAGAGGTACAGCTGGTGGAACAGCTGGGGAACAGCTGGTCAGTCTGGTCGGTCTGGATGTGGGAAGTCTCTGGAGCGGGGCAGGTCGGGGTCGGGATTCGACACTCCTTAAGCGTAAATATGCAAATAATATTGAGCAAAAATGCCATTTCAACACCTGACTGCCTGAGCGAAGAGTCAGATTTAAGATGAAAATCGATCGTGCGATTTCCTGTTTTCCCGTCGTTCCGCAGCAAAACAAGGAAAGGATAGCATTTCTAGCATTTTTCAATCTCCCGTGTGTTTCTCGACAGTAAGCCTTAAAAACTTTTCTCAAAATGTTACCAAGATCGGGAAAGCACCAGACAATTCTTGCCTCCAGGTTTCCAGAAGCCACTTGCCTCCATTGGCTACATCTGTCTCCCTCGAATCATCTGACAAGCAAAAGCAAATGATAATCTGATTTTGTCTTATTGAAGGAAGGTGGAATTACATTCACTTATAGAGTAACTAAATTTAGTGTAAAGTATTGAGGGAATCCGTTACTCACAAGAAGAAATTGTCATCAGGTTCGCAACGAGTAAAGTTACAATAATAAAGAGATGATGACTTCACGGAAGACTCGAAGGGGAAGGATGGCCCTGGATATCGCTATCTCGCCGGCAATTGGCAAGTGAGATATTAATCGGGACAGTATTAGAGATGAGCTGGGAAACTTGCTTTCTGAAAAGTCATCATAAAAAGTCAGTATATGAAAATATGTCCAAGACGTAATTTCGGGGCTTTTGCAAGGCCAACAGTCAGCAGTTGGCCCGATGAAGGGCCAGCATGCACGGCTATTTGCCGGCTTTACCAATCTGTAAGACCACCGGCGATGGTTCCTCCATGGCTCATGCACGAATTAACTACAAGCTATATTTAACGAAATTTCGCTGGGTGGAGATACAAGTTTTATGCAGTCGTCTCTCCTGTTCTCCGTTCCTGAGGGTGATTCGTATCAATTCCATTGAAATCAATAATTCTGACCCATCATTGACGCTTGTTTTTCCACCTGTATCATCGGTCGTGCTTCTCCGCAGAATCTGTATTGTTTTTGAAAGCTCAAAAACGTGGGATTCAAAAACCCCTTGGAAATTTCAATTTAGTATGATTAATTTTCTAGAGAAAATTGTCAAGCACCCTATTGGAAAGGGAATTGCAAAGAAAATCAACCAGGAGTTTCTTGATGGCGTGAGTAACAGAAACTCATGGTGTGTGAGCAGAAAAATGTCAAGCACATAGAATAAGTATGGAGAAATCTTGCCAGACGCATTGGGGATGAAGGCGGTTCCAATGAAACCGATTTTCCCATTATTCGTCCATAGAGCCAATTCGCGACAGTGGCAACGGCGAGACGACGCATTTGAGGACGGAAACACGGCATCCCAGAAGCTTCAGATAGAGGTGGGTTGATCGGGTTGCAGCTGAGAAGGCCTCGCCATGCATCAAGACTGAGGCATTGCCTGAGGAAAGGTTGCCGGCAAACAAAAAGCCTTGGGATGTGGGAGTGATTTTTATGACACGACGTTCGACGATGGCGACAACGGGCCTTTTTTAAACCATGACACGGAAGACTATGATTCAACGAAATGGGGAATATGCCAATTTAAAATTCCAGGCGGGTAAAATAATTCCATACTTTCCCCAAATGGTAACCTGAAAGCGAGTCGCAAATGCACCAGAAAGCGAAGGCTCTCAGCTCTTCAACACTAAAATTACGACACCTCCATGTTGTTTCTATTCCAAGCAAAAAGGAGCAAAAAAAAAAACCTTAAGAAAATGCCGAGTTGCCCGTTGAGTTTTTTGTCATGGTCCCAGCAACTCCTGTTCATAGGTGACCTTAAAACGTCCTAGCCTGTCTGCCGCATTTCCGCATCGTCATAGGATCCCCTCCTATCCTATTCAACGTTCCCTGACGAAGCACAGGCAATTCCTAATCGGCAGCTTGTAGATATGCAGAGCTCCTGTTCAATTGTGTTTCCTTCTTCGCGGCTGTCTGTCTAGCCAACGCCGCAGGAAACTGGATGGCGTCGACCTCGCAAGCCCCAAGAGTGAACCCAGTTGAAGACTTTCATAAGTTGGTGCACATCGACCTAAAAGGAGCTCCACCACGACCAGACTTCTTTGTAAGCTTCTTGAAGACGGTGAAGAAACTGGGTGCCACGGGGATTCTCCTCGAGTGGGAGGACATGTTTCCCTACGACGGCACCTTGCGGGTTTTGCCCGCCGAGAATCATTATACACTCGAGGAAGTGACGACCATTTTGACTGCTGCGTATGAATTGGATCTCGACGTCATTCCTCTCGTGCAGACGTTTGGACATCTGGAATTCGCTCTAAAGAACGAAGAGTTTAAGGATCTCCGTGCTGCTCCAAATGTGCCACAGGGTCTTGAACCTTCTCGTCCGGAAGCTGTGAAGTTGGTCAAAGATATGATCGATCAAGTAATGACGATGCATGCCCTTTTCAAGCCCACTCACCTTCACATCGGCTGCGATGAAGTCTGGTATTTGAGAAACGAGATAAACGTGTCTGCAATCTTCCTCGACCACGTTATTGTTGTGGCCAATCACGTGGTGCAGAAATTCAATGTGACACCCATCATATGGGATGATATGTTGAGGGAGATGCCAGTTGAGGAATTGAAGCGTCTCGGATCTCTGGTGGAACCGATGGTGTGGAGTTATCACGAATACGGAGTACGGGACTTGCCCAACGTGATGTGGACGAGGTACGCCAAGAACTTCAAGACGTTCTGGGCCGCCAGCGCGTTCAAGGGAGCGGACGGCCAGGTCGCTCTGATGCCGGATGTCATCACTCGGGTGAGGAATCACGTGCAATGGTTGAAGGTCTTGCAGTTCGTTCGAAATGTATTCGCGTCGTTCAGCGGTTTCGCGTTGACCGGGTGGTCGCGGTATGATCACTTCGCTGCACTTTGTGAGCTTCTGCCGGCGGGAATCCCTTCTCTCGCGCTCAATCTCCTCGTCTTGAGAGAGGGCCAGATCGATCCGAAGTAATGCGTTGAGTCCAAAAAGCTTCTCAACTGCACAGTCGTTGAGTCACTAAGTCATCAACGATTATTTCAATTCGATGACTGCAACTATCCGGGCAGTCGAGTGTATCAGCTGATGAAAACCTTGAAAGTCCTGATGAAAGAGCAAGAAGAATTTTTTTCCTCGAAGAGGACTCTCATCGAAGGATGGTACTCCGAATACCACTCCCGGCATTCATACATCACAGTTCTCCATTTCCAGTACTTGGGGAAAGAATTGGCTCATCTGAAGAGCAGATGGTAAGAACTAGCCTCGGCCATCGCAGCCGAATTTCGTGCCTCGTACGAAGAGAGCACACTGACGGAGTTCCTGGAGGAAAAGGTCTATCCGCACTGGAAGGCGCTGGACGACATCGAGGAACTGGCGGCGAGGGTGAAGGGGGCGCGGACCTGGCCTCGGCGGCCGCTCCGGTCCCCGCCTCCGGAGCTGGAGCGCCTCCTCAACCCTCGAGGAAAAACGGTTGCCGATTCTCCCGACGTTTCGACCGTTTCGCCTTGACTCATCGCGAGTCCGATTCCCACGTGGGGAACCGTTGCCTTAACAAAAGCTCAATTCGTCACAGATGGACTTCAAGAAAAAAAAATTACACTGTTGTGTTCGCTAGCCCGCAATGACAGTTCATCCCAGCAATATTGTAAGTGGTGATGTATTTCCATGCGACGATCAACTGACTCTTGTAAGTTGAACTAGTCAGAAATATATTTTTCTCAATGCCACTTGCTTCATATCGACCCTCAATAGGACCACCAGAATGGGAAAAAATAACGTCATCTGTTTTCATGCAAGACAATTGTTCACCTTCCTATTCGACCCCTGCGATTACAGCCCTCCCCTTACCCAAGGAATCGTCTCTCACAAGAGAGTTTTGTAGATCCCCAAAGGTCTCGCCTTGCCTCATTGTAGCAATCAATAAACTTCGAAACTTCCTTATTTGTCATCCCCATCTTACAGATAGAATCATGGAGTCCAGGCAAGAAATATGCCCTTATTCCTTTTGAAAACCACGTACGAGAAGGAGCAGATTCTATTCAAATGGAGTTTCAGTAAGGAGACGTGCTCGTAGTTTCTGTCTTATACTTCCTAGGTCGAGAGAAGAATACTACTCGTACTTCTCTCTACCGAAGGAAGTTCAGGAGACCTATAAGACCCTATAGGGATCCTATAGGTTTTTGTGTTTCAAAAACCTATAGGAAGTCTATAGTCTTAAGTCGGCGATGGAAACGGGCTCGCGGTGACGATCGCGCGAGAGTAATCGCAGGGGTAAGCAATTCTCATGCGGGATTGTGCTCTGTTGAAGTTGTGGATAAATATATTCTTCGATCTGAACAAAGTTGAATAATATACATGTATAATTGTGAGAAAAAAACATGCAGAATTCCACATTTTCCATTTTCTTCACCGGGCTGAAATTCATTCGATCGGCAACCTTGAAGACTCCACGCCGACTCATTCCTTCTTGCATCGTCATACGGTCTTCAATCGGCCGATCTCCCTCTCTCGTGACTGAGCGGAATCGATCATCAGTTCCTCTCCGCAGCTGGGGCACGATGTCCCGATTCCTTCAGAGTGCTTTTCCGTTTGGCGTGGTCGTGTGTCTGGCTGGCGTCCTTGCCTGCAGGGAGTGGCTCGGGTCGAGGGAAACGCGGGGGAACTCTCGCGAGAAGATCCAGAAAATTGTGCATATTGACCTGAAAGGAGCTCCACCACGGCCCGACTTCTTTGTGAGCTTCTTGAAGACGGTGAAGAAACTGGGTGCCACGGGGATTCTTCTCGAGTGGGAGGACATGTTTCCCTATAACGGCACCTTGCGGGTTTTGCCCGCCGAGAATCATTATACCCTCGAGGAAGTGACGACCATACTGACTGCTGCGAATGAATTGGATCTCGATGTCATTCCTCTCGTGCAAACTTTTGGACATCTGGAATTCGCTCTGAAGAACGAAGAGTTTAAGGATGTTCGAGCGGTGCCGAGTGAACCGCAGGCTCTTGAACCATCTCGTCCGGAAGCCTTGAAGTTGGTCAAAGATATGATCGATCAAGTAATGACGGTGCATGCCCTTTTCAAGCCCACTCACCTTCACATCGGCTGCGATGAAGTCTGGTATTTGAAACGCGAGACAAACGGGTCTGCAATCTTCGTCGACCACGTGAGCTCTGTGGCCGATTACGTGGGGCAGAAACACAACGTAACGCCCATCATTTGGGACGACATGTTGAGGGAGATGCCAGTTGAGGAATTGAAGCGTCTCGGACCTCTGGTGGAACCAATGGTGTGGAGTTATCACGAATACGGAGTACGGGACTTGCCCAACGTGATGTGGACGAGGTACGCCAAGAACTTCAAGACGTTCTGGGCCGCCAGCGCGTTCAAGGGAGCGGACGGCCCGGTCGCTCTGATGCCGGATGTCATCACTCGGGTGAGGAATCACGTGCAATGGTTGAAGGTCGTCGAGAGAGTCCGACCCGAATTTTCATCGTTCGGCGGTTTCGCGTTGACCGGGTGGTCGCGGTATAACCACTTCGCTGCCCTATGCGAGCTTCTGCCGACGGGAATCCCCTCTCTCGCCCTGAATCTGTTCATCTTGGAAGCTGGTCGAATGGATCCGACGTCATGCGTCAGGGCGAATAAATTCCTCAACTGCTCTGTTTTTGAGCCAAGATTTCATCAGCAAGAATTTCAATTCGATCACTGCAACTATCCCGGCAGCCGCGCCCATCAAGCGGTTCAAAAATTGAACAATCTGATAAATGAGGAAAATAAGTTTGTATCTCACTACAGGGATTTCATCGAAGGCTCGCATCCCGGAAACCATTCCCGCCATTCAGACGTCACCGGACCGCCGGAGAATCCCCGCCTTCCCCTCAAGAAGAAGTGGGAGGACCTCGCCCAAGAAATCGCCGCGGAATTCCGCGACCTCTACGACCACCCTACCGCGACGGAATTCCTGGCGGAACGGGTCTATCCGCACTGGAAGGCGCTTGACGACGTCGCGGCGCTCGCCGCGATGTCGCCGCGGAAAGCGATGGAAGCCTCGCCCGACAGACCCCTCCTTGCCCCGCCTCCGGACTTCCGGCTTCTCCTCGGCGAAACGGCATAGGCAGGTGCGGAAGTCATTAGAAAATGTCGATCCCGACGTATAATAATTTCCTTCTTCCTTGTGGACTCGATAGTTGCGTTTGTTTCGACGGAGAGGTCCAAAAGAAGACGTTATGCTTGACGTTTCATCGAAAAAAAAATTTTGCATTTCATTTGAAGAAAATTTTGCATTGTTTGTGCCAAAAAATTTAGTTTTTTGTTTATTTCCTGGTGGTTTCTCGTCAGAAGTCTCCAGATTGTTCAAGCGAAGAGAAACAGTCGGAAGAGGGACACGCCATGCGACTCACGCGCAAATATGGTCACGTTCCCGTTCCCAGAGGAAACATTTTTTGGTAGCAGTCCTGAAAACGGACTTTGTCGTTTTTGTTCAGACATTTCCAAAAAAATATATATTTTGGGAAAAAAATGGAAGCTATATTTTCCGCAGTTTTTTTTCATAAGGCTTCAAACAGGACGCGACTCTGCCGCAATGTGATTTATCGGCGTGACCATATGCTACTCGAAATTGTTATTATTTTATTTTAAGAGCTACCATCACCTTTCGAAGATTTTCGATCCCCGCCGGATTCGGGGCGAAAGGGGGTTCAAGTAATGGGAAAGAAAATTGCTGGGGAAAGCTGTGGTTCGTCCGTATGGGTGTCCGCTGGCGCTCCAGCGACCAAACGGCTGATGATTGAGCGGTGACGCTTGGCGCAAACATTCGTTAGCGTCTGAGAATTTTTTTTCCTCGAATTTCCACCGTTTTCCAGAATTTCGCACTATTAAAATTGCCAATGGGAGGTAAAAGTGACCAATTGCGTCCACCGACGTCATGGGTACCGATTCAATATAGACCTGCCATCTGGCTTTCCTCAGAACAAACAATGTCTCCAAAATAAACGACAGATGGCGAGGGAATCACTTTCTTAGCTATTTATCCTCCGATCGCGAAGGCTTCTCAGAGAAGAATTCATTGGCTTAACGGGAGCAAAAAGGGTTCTCATCCCCTTTGGGGCGATTTTTCCTGGATGAGGTGAACAGAAGCTTCCAAGAGTTTTCACTCGAGTGAAAGCGCAAAAATAACTCCATCTCCGAGTGCATCAGAGTGTGCCAATATTAGCATAAACCTTTTCGTTGCAAATCTCTATAATCATTCACTCTTTGGTGCGGGATTCCGGGAAAAAAATTGACGGAAAAAAATTCATTATCTCTCGCAAAGGTTGGGGTTCATCATGGATTTCCGTGGATTCCTTTCCCCCGGCAGAAATTTCACAAATTATAAAATTAATTGATTTGGGTAATGGCAACGCCCGGAAGACATTCGATCAGACGAGGCACGCCGCTTCGATTTGAGCCTAGGGCTGATGAATGCCTTCGCGGTGCAGCAGGCCCCGCCGGTCCTGGGGATGGAGGGAGTCGAGACCCGGCCGAGCCCGGGTCTGGATGTTTTCGTTCCGCTCTCGAGCTTCCCCCGCCGTGTGCCTGGCGTGTCTCATCGCATGGACTTCGTCGACAGCTGGAGGTTCTTCCGCTTCGGGATGGATGTCGAAATGAGTCCGTTGCTCTTCGGGCAGACTTTCCCATTCGCACCGTCATGAAGCGGGAAGCGGCTGCGGTGTTTTTTCCTCACCAAAATACGTATTAGCCGTGCAGACAGCTGAAGCGCACAATCGAATTGCGATCGAATCGCGAACCGTCGTCCCACCGGTGTCGCAATAACCGCAGGTAGTAGAGTCGCACGAGACCGAGCCACGATTCGATCGAAACTCGGCGGAGGAAGAATTCCTTGCAGGCCGTTCGATGCAGCATCGTCATCCGTCGATGCCAATGGATGATGTTGCCAGGGATGTCGCCACATTCCCGGTGGATGATTCAGCCTTCGACTTTTCCTGCGCCGATGAAGATGATCGATGAAGAAGTGGCATTCCGATTCCGCTATGACTACGCATTCAGGGGCCACAGCAAGCAACCACAATGTCTCCCCATTTTGAACATGAACTTAGTCGCAGATCTGGAAAAGGGGGAATTTTGACTTTAGAGCTCTAGATGAGAAGGACCCTTTTGGGAACTCAAGAAAATTAATTGAGAAATGCAGATCTCTGCAAACAATATCAGCATTTTGCCATGATTGTGAATTCTCTAAAATCATATTCTCATAGCAGAAATAGAAGAAAATTCTTACCTCATAGACTGCATTAGTTGCACAATGCCCTTTCGCCGGAGTCACGAGGATTTCCCCCATTTTTGACCTTGAGATGTCCGGAGCGGCCCGCTTCCGCATCGTCATCGCTTCCCTTTCCTCCCTTCCCTTCCGTTGCGAGGCGTAGTCGCTTGCCTTGCGTCAGCTCGAAGCGATGGGCCTTTTCCGTTCGAGTGCGGTTCCGTTGTGCGCCGTCGTGTGGCTGGCCGTGGTTGGTGCATACGAGGAGGGATCGGAGTCGATGGTCCCGGGCTCGAACGCAGTCGTGGAGTTTCAGAAGTTGGTGCACATCGACCTGAAAGGAGCGCCACCACGACTCGACTTCTTTCTCGGCTTTTTGAAGACGGTGAAGAAACTGGGTGCCACGGGGATTCTCCTCGAGTGGGAGGACATGTTTCCCTACGACGGCACCTTGCAGGTTTTGGCGGCCGAGAATCATTATACCCTCGAGGAAGTGACGACCATTTTGACTGCTGCGTATGAATTGGATCTCGACGTCATTCCTCTCGTGCAGACATTTGGACATTTGGAATTTGCTCTGAAGAACGAAGAGTTTAAGGATCTCCGTGCTGCACCGAATGAGCCGCAGGCTCTTGAGCCTTCTCGTCCGGAAGCCGTGAAGTTGGTCGAGGACATGATCGATCAGGTCATGGCCGTTCACGCCCATTTCGAGCCCACTCACCTTCACATCGGCTGCGATGAAGTCTGGTACTTGAAGGAACATGGAAACGGGTCTGCAATCTTCCTCGACCATGTTACTGCTGTGGCCAATCACGTGGTGCAGAAATACAACGTGACGCCCATCATTTGGGACGACATGTTGAGGGAGATGCCAGCAGAGGAATTGAAGCGTCTCGGATCTCTGGTCGAACCAATGGTGTGGAGTTATCAAGAAAGCCGGGTGCAGAATTTGAGCAATGCGATGTGGACGAGTTACGCCAAGAACTTCAAGACGTTCTGGATCGCAAGCGCTTTCAAGGGAGCGGACGGCCCGGTCGCTCTGACGCCGGATCTCATCAGCCGAGTGAGCAATCACATGGAATGGTTGAAGGTCTTGCAGACGGTCCGACCGGAATTCGCGTCGTTCGGCGGTTTCGCGTTGACCGGGTGGTCGCGGTACGACCACTTCGCTGCCCTTTGTGAGCTTCTCCCCGTGGGAATCCCCTCTCTGGCCCTCAATCTGCTCGTCTTAGATGGCGGTCCGATCGACTCAAAATTATGCATTAAGGCCAAGAAGCTGCTCAACTGCACGGTTCTCAAAGAATTCAGCTATCTGCGAAAATATCGGTTTGATGATTGCAACTTTCCTGGCAGCCGGGTACTTCAATTGGTCGGAAATATGGAACACTTGCTCAAAGTGCACGAATACGTAGTTTTCAGCAACAAATCGAAAACCGAAGCTTGGTATTCCGAATACCACTCCCGGCACTCATTCACCTCAACCATACCGTTCCGGAAGCGGGAGAACCAATGGCTCCTTCTCAAGAAGAAGTGGGAGAAACTGGCGAATGAAATCGCAGCCGAACTTCGCGCCCTCTACGGCGAGCCGACCGCGATGGAGTTCCTGGAGCAAAAGATTTTCCCGCGCTGGAAGGCGCTGGTCGACGTCCTGGACCTCGTGGCGCGGACGAGGGAGCAGAGGACCTGGCCGAGGAGGCCGCTTCCGCCGTCGCCGGAGATCCGGCGCTTTCTCAATTCGTCGAATATTCTTCCGCCGGATTGAGGATGGGTTTGGATGTGTGCACTGGTGGAGGTTGTATCGGTGGAGGCTCTCGAAGTGAGAATCGCTTATGATGTCGAATGTTTTTGAATGCATTAGTTTTGCACTGCAGCGAACGGAGGTGGAGGTTCGATCCTTTCAATTCATCCGAGTAGAGGCATTCCGGTCTGAGGGTCCGCTGGGCTCTTGCCTGAGGGGCCGCTGGGCTCTTGCCTGAGGGCCGCTGGGCTCTTGCCCTCTGCCCTTTTCTTTGTGAAAAGCGTCGGATGGGTCTGCCGTAAGTCCTGTCTCTTATGAAAAAAAAATCTTAGGAAATGGCATTCCGAATCTTGCCTGGAGATCAGGAGCAATTTGAGGGAAAACTGAAAATGAAAAATGTGAAAAAGTCAAATGGGATTTTGGATTTACTATATTTGGAGTTGCCGATGCCGGTCGGGTGAAATTCCGCCTTCACAATCCGAACGAAAGGGAAAGCGGAAAGGGAAGGCGGAATGTCAACCTGAAACCATGAAATCTGTTTTTAACCGAGTTAGGGTGACTCAGCTCTGAGAGAAATTCTTTTCCGTTTGGCTTGCTCCTTTCGTGTTCGGGGACGGAGAAGTTCCTTCGATCGTCCCAAGTTCCCGTTCAGCGGCGAGAGTTCCGAATATTTAGGAAAATCGGAGCGAAGAGGGAATTTTAGCTGCAGAAGATTGGGGGAGACGAATCGGCCCCTCGGCGTCCTTTGCTTCTTCCGTTCCGCGAGAATTCCTGTCGCGCATGCGTCTCTCTTATTTGCGATTTTTCACGGTTTCCATCCGTACGAGATAAACTGTGCCCGCGTCGGTTGCCTCCGGGGATCCGGCCAGCTCTTGGCCGGATCTTTCGAGGACCCATCGAAGAAACAAGCCGGATAAATGAGAAGCGGAACGGGCGAAAGGGAAGATGAAGGGGCCGGATGCGCGTCCGGTCGTATCTCTCGGTCTCGTCGACCGGACTCTCTTCGAACGACCAAAAATATGTCTATTTTTGGTTCAACGTTTATAAGGTGGCTCTCTGCAGTCGCGTAATTCACCGCCGGAAAGCAGCACCGAAGAGATTAAGAGGAGATTAAGTCCTCTAATTCTCCTCTAATTCTCCTCTAATTCTCCTCTAATTCTCCTCTAATTCTCCTCTAATTCTCCTCTAATTCTCCTCTAATTCTCCTCTAATTCTCCTCTAATTCTCCTCTAAAAGAGATTATGTTCCCTTGAGAAAGGCTGCATGCACCAAAAGTTTCCCAAGCGACAAAACGAAGAAAAGCTGAAACCCCGAATGCACTAAAAGAAAGAATCGACAAAACTCGAATCGTCGAATGACACTTTATTGATATACAGGGTGTGCAAAAAGTAGGTGCACAGTTGCCTATTTTATTTTTATTTTTATTTACAGGTAGTTGATGGAATGAAACGCAAACAATATCCGGGACGCCGGGAATATGTGAGCAATGAGGGCTAAGTCTCTGAGCATCTAAGCATCTAATCCACGTGTCTTACACGGTTCATGCATGCAAGTGGTTACCCACTTTTGGCACACCCTGTATATATTTTAATTTCCAGGTGTTTATCTGAGAGCAAGGGAAAACTCGTGATCGAGCGGAAATATTTCTGAGACGGTCGGGGACGTCGCCGCTTTCGCGGTGGGTGCGAACCCGTCGCCGTCCTTTCCGCCAGTTCGCGGCAGGGCTCCGCGATTTTTCGGGTCTTTTTTCCGCCTTCTGTTTGCATTCGAGGCGTTGGCCCCTTCGTGTCCCATGTACCATTGCCAAAAAAAAAAAAAACCATCTAAATCGCCAAAAAATTTTTCAGTTCACTGATGTCCTGCGGACACCATCCGTGAAAGGTTAATTGGAACTCGGATTTGTTAGAGAAAAAAAAATTCCCTCTGGAAATTGTCCTCGGCTGACATCACGGCGCGCGCTGCCCTGGTTCGGAAAAGTTATCAAACCCGGCATGAACGCCATCGTGAGCCGGCATCGTGAGCGACACGCAATGTTTTCCTTCCCTTCTTTATTGAGTTTATAATATTGTATTTTCCATGTAAAATAAATATTTAAATATAAAAAAAATCATTTTCATTAAAAGCGTCAAAGAGGTTTCCGAACGTCCACGGATGAACAGCTCATCCGAAATCCTAATCCTCACAACTGCTTCTTGGTAGGCGCAGCAGGCCCGCCATCTGGCGGAAATTCGAAGAAACAGAGGTTCTCGCAACCGAAGGGAGATGGCGCCAACATCGCCGCTTCAGAGCGATTCAAAACTATTTTTAAAAGTCCTTTGGAATTATTCCCCGTCGCTCTTCAGCCGGACACGATGGAAGTCTGAAAGCTTAGCCGTGGAAACGGTTCCAACTCGTTTTGCTGTTACGAGTTACCGTTCTGCTGTTACGAGTGGGTTTGGAGGGTTCTGATGCAGCGAATAGATTTTTAAAAAAATAATAGTGATGGTTTTTCCATTTTTGGAAACCGATGGATTAAAGATTGCGAGAGATTGTTGTCAGTGGGGATCGTCGCTCCAGACGAGGCGAGGTTTTTCGGAGCAGGGAGAGACAAAGCTCGCGAGTTTCAATCAAGAAGCCATTATTTATTGCCGTGTCGACCAAACACCGGACGGGCCGAGCGATGAAGAGACAATCGAAGAGACAATCGAAGAGACAATCGAAGAGACAATCGAAGAGACAATCGAAGAAACGAGGAGAGAAGATCCAGGACGATTTTTTTTGTCGCCTGGTAACTGTGTCGTTCACCGACTCTCGCTGGCGTTGAAAAGGGCGACTCGATCGCTAGAGCGACTCGCTCGAGTCTGAGGGCGGAGTCGCGCTCAGCTGAGACAGGACGATCAGGTAAGTGAGCATCGTGCTCGCGATCTGCGTTTTTTGGAGAACTTCAAGTGGAATGAGGCATTGGGGGCGTCGAGGGAAAGGACGACTCTTACCGTCACGAGAACCGGTCGGCTGATGAGGAAAGTTTTCCAGGCGCTCACGCCGGGAGGCTGAAGGCTTAGCTTCAGGTAGAAATGCATCACCTGCGAAGAAATTCAAGGCTTTACTATAACATGAACGCAGAGGCGGCCAAGGGATCGCGGACGCACGAGTACCTGCAGACTTTCCACGTAGTCGCTGTGGACATCTCTCTCCGAACCGACGAAATGAAGGAGATGCGAATCGGCAAAATCTTGGACCTGGAGGACGAGACATAAATCCCCCGTCAGAGGCATCCCCAAACGGCACGACGACAGATCGCTCGAGGAAACGAACGGCTTCGTGGATCCGTATGGCCGGGAGAACGACGAATGCCATGCCGATGATGGACCTGACTAGCCCTATCAGGTATCCGATGGGGAACTCCCCGCCCCCGATCCCCTTCATCACGGAGTAGATTCCAACGAATCCTTGGAATGTGCTAATGAAGGGAAACAGAATTTTGGTAATTTTTTTTTTTTGAAAGCCATACGACCCTCACGGAAATATCCTATAGGAAACCTATAGACTTTCCTACAGGTTTTTGAAGCACGAAAAACCTATAGGATCCTATAGAATTCATATGGGGTCGTATAGGACTCCTGACCTACAGGATTCGGGGAGGGTTTTTTGGGTTTCGAAGCCCAGGCATTACAACGGGAATGGCGTCCGGGGTTAATATTGGCCCAGCATTTTGTTGAAAATCCATTACGATTAGGGGTTTTCCCATGGCAAGAACCTTTGCATTATTAATACCAGTACTGGCAAAGTCTGCATAATTTATGGCCCCGACCAACATATCTCGCTGGATTGCGCGTCAACTTCCTTCGGTAGAAAGAAGTATCCGTCTTCTCTCGACCAAAGGAAACAGAAGACAGAACTTGCAAGCGCGTCTCTCTACTGATACTCCATTCGGATGAGGTCTACTTATTCTCGTATGTGGTTTTCAAAGGGAATATGGGCATATTTCTTGCCTGGACTCCATGATTCTATCTGGAAGATGGGGATGACAAATAAGGAAGTGCCCAAGTTTATCGATTACTACAACGAGGCAAGGCGAGACATTTGGGGATCTACAAAATTCCCTTGTGAGAGATGATTCCATGGGTAAGGGGAGGACACTTTTGTGTCTTTTGAGAAATGCGAGAACCCAATACCTCCATATAGTGGCCTAGAGGAGAACTTCAAACGAAACCCTATTGGCTAATAGGGTTCCGTATAGGCCCTATAGGTTCTAAAGGGAGACCTATAGGGAACCCTATAGGTCCTAGAGGAAGCCTATAGGTTTTATAGGGAACCCTACGGGTCCTATACAGAACCGTTTGGGTCCTATATGGAACCCTATAGGTTCTATAGGGAACTCTATAGGTTCTACCGGGTGCGAAAGCCTACTTGGGACATTTTCTTTACCGCAAATTTTGAGTTTTCGGCTGGCAATAACCTTTATTTGAAAATTTTCACAGACAGTGGCCTAGGACTCCGCTAAATAACCCTGCTATTTAAAGGTTAAATACCCATAGCTTCCGATGAACCAAACAGTTCAATTTTGCTTCTAAATATCACAGCAGAAGGTAATTCCTAGCAAGCCGCCTGCGGATTTTCTCACTTGCCTGGCCCAGATCTCAGTGAGGACGCGAAGCGCTGTGAACAGCTTTGCTGTTGGAACTGGCAATACAGTTGAATCAGCAAAGCGTAAGAGTGGCGTTGAAAGTCAATCATTTGCACTACCATTTGGATGTTTCGGTTTCAGGTTAACAAGTGCAGCTCGGACTTTGCATAAACTTTACTCCACTTTTGACAAAAAGTGCAATAGTGCTACAGTTTTTTTTACTTTTGCACAGTGTGTGTGGAAAATATGTGCGTGCTGATAGTGTTAAATAAACTGCACTTAATAACAATCGAAGGGACAATCGAAGAGACAATCGAAGGGACAATCGAAGAGACAATCGAAGAAACGAGGAGAGAAGATCCAGTACTTACACAATTTTTTTTTGTCGCCTGGTAACTGTGTCGTTCACCGACTCTCG